TTTCTTCAGTGAATTCATGATTCCTTACAGGTTTCTTGAAAGGCAGACATGAAGTCAGCGCTCTCCAACAAGCAGCCTCATTCTACTCAGCGTGGTTTTCTCACTGAAAGTTGGTAAAATGATGAGCCATGGAGTGTGTGTGTGTGTGTGTGTGTGTGTGTGTGTGTGTGCGCGCGCGTGCGCGCGTTTGGGGGTATAATAAAGATGTGAATGAGGTCGGGGAGGAAATATGGCCTGATGGAAAGGATCTCCTGCTCAAAATTTTTCAGGGTCCCCACTCACTTCACTCAGTGAAGGCAAAGAGTAATATTCCAGAGAGACCTGCCATCAGGAGACCAGAATGGGGAAAAAGGCAGTAAAAAAAGACCCGAGTTCTAAACCTACTTCTGCAACTTAGTAGCTTTATGACAACCGGTGTTTCACTTCTGTGAATGGGCACAAGTCAAACCGGCATAAGAACAGTCTCCTGACCTCATGGGAGTGTTGTGAGAATTCAGGGAGAAACTATAAGGCATTCAGCACAGCACCCTCATGCACTACTCCTGCACAGCAGATGGTCAATAAACAGTACCCCAAATGTGATTACATAAATTGGAAAGAAAAAGTAGAAGGAAAGATTTCACTGAATATGAAACATTAACAGGAATGATCAGAGAATCCATCCAGTAGGCTGACTTCTCTATATGAAAGAACACTGACCAGAGGAGAAAACAAATCTGTACACACTGCCCGTGGATATAGATAGAAGCCAGTCTCTGACTCAGTGGTACTGTACCACGGACAGCCGCGAGGAGAACCTACGCACAGCCAACGGGGCTGGATTCCCAGAGGCTGTGAAGGAGGGCTCCAAGTCTGACCTGTTGTTGATTTAGGATTTGTCTTCCCCCTATTTCCCAAAAGGATCAGAGGCAAATTCTAGTAAAAGTCACATTTTCAGCAGATTGATTTAAATAAGAATTTAAGAATCAGAGGACTATAATGAGGACGAGGTCCTAGCCATCATCTGCTGCAACTGCAAATAAAACTTAGCTCTGGGCAGCCAGAGCGAAGCCAGAAAACTTGCAAACTGATCATTAGGCAAAGGAAGAATCAAGATCAATCAGGAAAGGCAAATTCTCCTAGAACTAAACTTGAAATTTTATAATCAGAATCTGATCCTAAGAACACATGCTTCCGGTTCCCTCACACCTCCCAACCTCCTAACAGAAGCTTCAGCATATTATTTCCTTCCTCACAGCTTTGTCAACTACCAGCTCTCTGACCCGAAACCAATGCCCCGCTTCTCTGGATCTCAGCTTCCTCATCCTTAAAATGAACAGTGCTCTTCCCTGTTCATGAAAGGGAATGGAGGAACCTTTGCTAGCATTCACTGGGTGCCGGCTAAGCATCAAAATCTCTGCATACACTCTCACTGAAATCTCCCAATAACCACAGAAGGCAAGTCCTGTGAATATTCTACCGATGACCTCCCTGAGACTCAGAGAGGTGGGGACAGCTGCCACTGGCATGCAACTAAAAAGTATGACAGGATGAACCCAACTGTAGTCTTCTGCGGTACCAAGGTAGAAATTTAACCACGATACTTTCCCACTTTCCCCGTCTATGTCAAACACCCACCAGGTCCTGGGATGTAGTCGGTACTCAACACATTAGTTCCCTTCCTCACATCCCTGTCCTCCTTTCTCCTAAACTACAATGACATATATCTAGAAAATTAAGTTTACTAAAATGATATCAGTATCTTATATTTACATAGTTTCTTTCCTCTAAGGAGATTATACGACTTAATCTATTTTCTCTACTAATCCCACCAAATCTCTACCTATCATTATGCATTATTTCACTTATTTTGCAAGTAAGGAACTAGAAGGCAACAGGCTGCTAGGGTGACGTGCCCACGGTCATGTGGAAGTCACTGCCAAAACCAAATAAAAACCTTGGTCCTCTTTATGTCTAAATCAGCCTTTATCCTCTCATATGACACAGCCTCCGTAATGAAGAACAGATCAGTCATTTTTTTATCTGGAAAACGACCAAACGTATAATTCAGTAAGGGGCCTCATGACCTTACCACCTTGTCAAAGGGAAGTAAGTATATAAAAAATGAGGTTTGCGGGAGCAGACGGTTTCAGTCCGTCAACTTTCTCTTAGATTACTCCCGTTAACCAACATAAAATAATGTAAAATACAATGTAACAGATCCCCAAGTCTTTGGAAATTTAAGTAAAACTCACTGATCCTTCAAACTTGCATACGATGCACAAAGGCAATCGTTAGGTCCTGCACGCTGCAGAGGAGCACTTAATGTCAACTGGATCCCCGAAGGGAGAACACGATACACAACTGGGCCACTCTCAGAAGAATCCAAGTCAGCAATGAGCATCTAGCAGCATAAATTCATAGCATCCACAGAATTTTAAAGTTCCGGAGGGACGTGGCAGGCCCCTGAGAGCAGTCTCTTCATCTGGTATATAAGGAAACTGAGGCTCAAGGAGGTTAAGTGGTTTTCCTGCAATTTCACAGACAAAAGAACAAGAACTAAAAAAATCTGCTGACTACTACTCACTCCACTTACAAGTCTTACATCTGATGTCCATGAACACACTTAGCGCTTTCCAGAATTACCCATCTAGAAAGACACCGCAAGATCAAGAGCATGTACTTGAGCAGCAGAAAGACTAAGGATTCAAATCGTGACTGCCACTTAGAGGCCACGTGATCTTGGGCAGGTCCCTGAATTTCTTTGAATGTCAGTGTTTTCACCTGTAAACGGTGGGTAATAGTAAATGCCACAGACAAGCTGCAGACGGCATAAAGAAGGCCACAGCCTGTGAGCTCCGTGAAGACAAACATCAGGTTCATATATCCCCAGCCCCTGGCACAGAGCCTGACACACGATGCATTTGTAAAAATTTACTGAGCAAATTAATGAACTAATCAAGCCAACGGGTACTGGACTTGAACCCAGGGTCTACTTGGTTCTTGAACACTAGGTTCCATTGAGTGATTTCAAAGCAGAGTGTTAAATCTGACTTACAGAATACGCAAAACACAATGGAATAAGAGCCATCTTCCGGCCATATAGCAGGAAAAGTTCAGTGGATTCAGTGTTGGGACTGATTATTGTTGCAATCATGAGGCTTTAGAATCAACCAGACCTGGGCTTAGGTCTCAGCTTTAGTGTAAGCTGAGTGACTTCAGAGGATGCTACTTTACCTCTCTGAGCCTAAATTTCCATACCTGCAATAAATGGGGATTGCGTGAGAAGTAAGGTAACACATGTAAAGAAATACAGAATGATGTGCAGCATTAAAAAACTCTTTTACTCTATTTCCCTTCTAGTTAGTTAGAGGCTTCATTCATTCATTTCACTTCGGTCTCAGCTCAAATATCACTTCCTCTCAGGGCACCTGGGTGGCTCAGTCAGCTAAGCGTCAGACTCTTGATCTCAGCTCAGGTCAAGAGATCAAGCCCCACTTCAGGCTTTGGGCTCCACACTCAGCATGGAGCCTGCCTGCCTGAGATTCTGTCTGTCTCCTTCTCCCTTCCCCCCATGCCCCTCCTTCTCCACTCACGGAAGCTCTCTCTCTCTCACTCCCTAAAATAAATAAGTCTTTAAAAAAAAAAGTCACTTCCTTTCTCAACTTTTCTATCTACAATAACCCCCCCCCATTCTCTATCCCCTTACATCTCTTATTCTTTTTCATAGTTCCTATCATCACAGGACATTACATCATGTATTTATTTATCTTTCTGTTTACTGTGTCTATTCAATCAGAAGGTAAGCCCAGGAGGACAGCAGCTTTTTGTTTATTTTGTTTACTGCTATATCTCAGCCACCAGCGAAGTGCTGGCATGTAGATAGTGCTTAATAAATATGCGCTGAATGACTAAATGAATTAATTCAATGCTGATTTGGATCTGCTGTCTGGGAGGCACTGTGCAGGAAGAGGGACTTAAAGATAATTGACGACGAGACGACAGGAGGAGAAACTACTTCGGTCGGCTGTGGAATCTTCCCAGGTTTGGAATCTGTGGAGATTCTTACCTCACCTGGGCCATCCCCATTGACTCCTAACTGTTCTTGTGTCTACTCGGCCCCCCCACATTCCACTTATTAGTCCACAGCCAGGGAGACCCCCAAAAAGTCAACATCGGATCGGATCAGATCCCTCTGCTTAAACTCCTCCAGTGGTTTCCTATTTCAATTAGAGTAAAGCCCACACTCCTTACCATAGCCTAAAAAGCCTTTCCTACCACTCTCTCTCCCGCCCTCCCTGAGTTTCAGACACACTGGCTTTCTCATTCTCAAACATGCCAAGGTCTTGTTACTTCTTTTCTTTTTTAATTTAAAAATAAACATACATTTTTATTCACTCAAAACTCTAAGTTCTATTTATATAATTAACAATATTCTGTTCTAATGCTTATATTTTTCAGCAGCAAGGACTAATGTAAAAAATAACACTGCAAGGAGTGTGAGTTGGAGATCACAAGTGTTGAGGTCTATTCTGATTTGGGGCCTTTGTGCTGGCCGTTCACTCTGCCTGAAAAGCTCTTCCCCTAGGCTGGCTCTTGCTCACCAATCCGTTCAGCAAAAATCTTACCTCTGAGGAGAGTCCTCCCAGGCCAAAGTTGTCCCTCCACCGTCACCCTCATCAAGTTGCTCTGTTGGGTCCCAGTGCCTTTTCTTTCCTCACGGCATTTCATTATCTGGGATGACTCGGCTATTTATGTGTTCTACCTTCTACTAGAAAGCACGCTCCGTACAAACAAGGACTTTGCAGGTTTACTGCTGCACTTCCAGCCCCTAGTACATAGCAGGCACTCGGTCAATATTTCCTCAATCTGTACACTGGATCTCAAAAGACATTAGAGTTTGCCAGAATGAAAGTACAGGTAAGGCACACTACTGGCCTAACAGTATCTTGACATGTTGGTTTCCTTCCAAGGACAACTGCCCCATTCCATCAAAATAAGTGAATTTTAACCAAACTTACTTGGGAATGGGTACCCGAATTAGCGTCCCTTCCACTTCTGGGTTCAGATTCATTCCACTTTCTCTTATAGCCTTGATAGCTGCAGCTGTACACTGAAAACCAGATCAAAAGGTAAACAGAATTAGTAAATAATTATTACCAGATGCAAGCCCTCTGTCGATAACTGGCAACCCATCTTGGCAGAACATGGAAACATTTAGTTCTGTTACCAGTAAGATCAGGAAGTTACATTGGTGTAGAGTGCTTTGATCAAGCTGAATAGCAAACTATGTCCACTCCTGGTACCAGTGTACTGCGGGAGGGAAGAAAAGCAAAGAGAAGGAAAAAATAAAAAGAAAACAGCTCTGCTTCTTTGAAAAGATTTCAATGGTTTGAGGCAACACAGATCAAAACCACAATAAATCCTCAAGGGAGGGGGGCTGGTCTGTGCAAAGATTGGTGTAAAGACAGATGAAAGATTTTATACATTAAAAATTCCAGTTGACATTTTACACTCAAAATATACCAGTGCCGATTTGGAATGAGTAAATAAATTTAACTCATTCGCATCTACACTCACACTAACCTCACTCATGTCTTGGAATGAGCAATGAGTCTCTGCTGGGATGTGCTCTAGGAAAGGCAGTATGGGGTTTGGAGTCAGAAAGATCTCAGTTCAGATCCTAGCTCTGGTAACCATGTGACCTGGGCCAACAATCCTGACCTCTCTGAGCCTCCATGTTGTAATCTGAGACCACAAGGTACCTAGATCTCCCAGAGCATTAAATGAGATAACATGAACAATGCAACCTGCTCTGTGCCTAGCACACAGTGACACCCAGGCAAGGAGACTTATCATATAAATTTATTATATAAAAGTAAAAATGCACGAATCCTCCAAACAAGGCTGAGTTGTTATCACTCAGCTGATGCACTGTTGTCCTGCCTGACATCCTTCAGGGTCTTCTCTGACACAGTCTTGCTCTCCACTGGGCTAGGTGGCACAATGGTACATTGATTTTCCAAGGTGTGGGTCACCTCACCTCAGGCAACAATATAACCACACCTGCTATGAAATTCTAAAGGATAAAATAAAGTGCGGGAGAAAGTTTCTTTCATTGGCATGACAACGTGGAATTCATGAAAAAGAGGCCTCTGACATTTTCAAAGAATTTCAGGTTTGACAAAGCCAATCTACTTCACTTGGATTCACTGGGCCAATTCTTGGCCTTGAGTTCTTCCCTAGACTTTGTGGTCTAATGAATGGGATTTACTGTACACCTATTCTACTTTTCTAGGTTTTGTTTTGATTTTTGATTGAGTGCCTATAAAGCTTATCCCTTTCATCTTAACATGACCTCAGTTCTACAGGGACATAAAGGTGCTACCCAAAAGTCAAAAAGATAAACCGGAAGTCCACATGTAGATGAAGCATCCCTCTGGGAGGCTGTACACAGAATGTGACAGTGTGACTACTGCTTAAAATAGTAAATTCTTAAAATGGTACTTCTAGCCACAGACTACTGGAGCTTGAAGGGATCTCTGACATAATCAAGTACAGTCCCTTCTGTATGTACACAGGGACCCTCCACATATATGCTGTCTTCCCTGAGAGCCAAGAGCAAGGGCATGAGGACTTTGCCTCCATAATTCCCTTACTGGCAGAGGTTAGGGAGACCTGGGCACCTCAACTCTCCATCCAATGACATTACTTTGAATTTTCTTCCAGATCTATCAGCACATTGTATTCAATAATTGAGGCACAGGGAACTGGATTTTTTTTTTTTAATAGCCAAAAACAGGGGTGCCTGGCTGGCTCAGTCGGTGGAGCATGTGACTCTCATCTCAGTGTTATAAATTCGAGCCCCACACTAGGTACAGAGATTACGTGAAAATAAAATCTACTTAATTAAGTAAGTAAGTAGCCAAAAATAATTTGGAATTGGTCTGGTGTATAAAGAGAATGGTCAAAGTAAATAAAAGAGCTGGAGAAAGAAATGAAATTTTCCTTCATTTCTAAAGTTAGCAATAAAGGGAGAATCTCTACTTTAAAGTGTCCTGGTCTCAAGTCTCCGAATCCCCCTCTTCTGAAGCTTCTCATTCAATGACCAAGAACTCAGCTGTCACATCCCACTGCCACCAACTGCCTTTGGCAATCTGGTCCCCAATCTTTCCATACAAACTTCCCCAACAGGTTTAGGAACACCCACTGCTGCTTCCAAGCTGGGCAGGAGCTATGCCTCAATATGTACACCTTCCCAGTATCATTATAGAGCCAGATACGTGGTAAGCCCTCAGTAAAATCATGTTGAATAAGGAGATTAATGAACTGGCTTAGATCTGTTAGAAAAACCAGCTCCTTACTTTTACTTCATGTATATAATCCCTTCCAAAACTTTATATTATACTTTACTTGTTCTATCCTTTCATATATAGAAAAATTATGACTCAAGAGAGGTTTCATTTGCAAAAAAAAATCTATTAAAAGAGATAGTTCTTCTAAAATATTCTAAGTATGTAAATTTTCATTTGACATGGTAGGATACAGAAACTCGGGGAATCACAGTTATTTTTCCAACATGACTTCTTAACTAATAACAATTCAGACAAAAAGGCACGTATTTCTACAGCACTTCCATCTCAGCCTGTACCGAAGGGATGCTGACCGTACCCCAGGGAAATGGGCTTTTCTCAAACAGCAACACTGACCAACTGTTTGTAGCTGCTTAGAGTACCGTGTGGAGAAAGCTCATCGATCCCATCTAGGGTCAGTCAAGAAAGAGTACTGTGATCAATTAGCAACATCTGCTATTGCTATTCTTAAGTTAATCTAGGTTAAAGGATGAAAGATGATAAAACTTTCCTAGACAGGTGAACAAGAACTTTGACAATGTGGGTTCAAGTCAACTTTGCTAGGGCCATTTTCATTACCAGCCTTCCATTATCTTTGTATCCCACTGAGTCCCTCCCACAGAAGGTCTATGAAGGCAGGGACCCTGGCTGTCTTAATCATTGAATTCCCAACACTTCAAACAGAACCTAGGAACTCACAGAAACTCAATAAACATTTGCTGAATGACTGTAGGAATGGTGAAAGGAACACAGGCTTTAGTGTCAAACAGACCGGTTTCTAAATCCTGGCTCCATCCTAACAGTGTGAACCTGGGGAAGATATTTAACTTCTCTGGGCCTCATCTATAAGATGGAATAAATAACACCTCATCTTAGCGAGAACCTATGTCGATCACTGAACAAAACACAAGAAAGTAATGCCTGGCAACATAGTAGACACTCAATACACATTAGCCTTCTTACTTTCACAAGAGCAAGAGTGGAGCCTGTGGAATTTTTTCTTTTTTTTCATTTGCCTTGTTCAAATCAAGCTGTGGTTTTGACTCCCTTCTTTCCTTTCCCATCATTAACTCTAGCTGCAGGCAAGTTTATGGAAGGCAGCAACTGTGTGTATCATTTATCAAGCAGGACACATGTTAAACAAATGCAACACAGTTTTCTGTCCTCAATGCATCTGAAAAGATTATGCATGTAAATCTGCACCGTGTCACTATGGCACGACACAGAAAAGCCAACCGCATGTGAAACAGAGAGGAATTACATAAACACAAAGGGGATTAGCTCAGCATTTTGAAGCTATGAACCTGGGTACTCTATGGACAATTTCTAAACTGGAGGAAGGAAATGTTTAGTTAGAGCTATTTGTTTAATATATACACCAGATGAGATAAAGGAATTCAAAAGACAATGTAACTCACACTTCCTCACTCTGTCCTTGTAAAGAACCTCTCTACTGAGATGATTATGAAGGTTTTTATTTTTTTTTTCTTCAAAACTCACAGAATTTCAACTTAGAGAAATAGCAAAGATGCTTTGGTTGAAAAATGAAGATATATTCCAACTTCCTAAGAAAAAATTAAGCCGTTAATACCTCCTCCTGCCTCATAAGATGCTCTGGTGGCCAATCAGGTGCTTCTTCTGTGAATGCCATTTGCTATTTAATAACAGAAGTGGCTGGCTCTGAAAAGCAATCTGCCTGATGAGGTCTTCAAGCTGTGTAATTAGGAGGCTATTCCCTAAATTGGCCCGCAGTGCCTATGGGATCAGATGAACAAGGCAGAAGGCCTCAGCCATTCAGAGGGAGCCAGAAAGGGAAAGAGTTGACAATTCTCTTTTCGTCCATTTCTCTGCTTCTCTGTAACACTAAGAAAGAGTGGCCTCCTTCCATCAATCTAATGACAAGTATTCATGCACTTAAGGAGAAGTGACTGAGTGCTTCCATGTGCCAGGCACTGTGATAGGTGCCGGACATAACGAACCAGTTAGATAGGATTCCTACATCCCAAGCTTACAATCTAGTGGAAGTGAGATGGAAAATGAAGACATAAATAAATGCCTAACTGTTAATGATGAGTGCAATGAAGAAAAAGAACTCGGCCATGTAAGAGAGGTCAGCATGGACAAACAGGTTAGATTGAGCACATTAGGGAAGGTTTCCCTGAGAAAGTACCATTTAAGGTGTGATCCACAATGAGTAGCAATTAACCACACAAGAGTGTTCCAAGCAAAGGGAACAGCATATGCAAAGGCCCTGAGCATGCAAAGGGTGTGGTGTGTTTGAGGAACTGAAAGGCCAATGTGTCTAAAGCAGTGTACAGGGATGACAGTGGCATAAGACTACAGAGATTAGAGACAGGCAGGGTCCCCATCATAATACAAAGCCTTCTAGGGCACAATAATTTTTTTCTTAAAGATTACATGAAGCCCCTGATAAATTTAAAGCACAGGAATGACATAATCTAATATATACTTTTGAAAGTTCACTCTGGTTGCAGTATGGAAAACGGAATGGGGGAGTGGTAACAGCCTCCACCCAAGTGTGCCTGGAACATAAGCTACAGTAGCCCTCTGATTTGAAACAGTTTGTTCATAGCAAGGGCTTTCCCTTACTCACACCTTTAACCCAGTTAGTCAAATCCAACAGCTTCCACTTTGGTCTCTGGAACAGAACTACTAAAAGAGACCATGGGAAGAGGAGGGGACCTCAGATTCCTTTACCTCTTATTAACAGATTAGAAAATGGAGGTCAATTGGAGGGAGAGGTGGGATTGGGCTCCAAGTTCTCCAGAACTCCCAGTCCAGGTCAATTCCTACTGGACCAACAAGGACAAGCCCATTTATCTTCCTCAACTAGACTTCAAATCATAGCCTCAAGGTTGCAATGATCTACTGCAACCCATCTTCAACTTGGAAGCTCTGCAATTCTACAATGACCAGTCCAGTTTGAAAGGAATATGAATTCCAGAAGGTCTGCTCCAAATGGTAATGTGAAGGTCACGAACTGGGGGCCCATAAGCCAAATCTGGCCCATGAATATGTTCTGTCTCATAGTCTTAAAAAAAAAAAAAAAGTGAAAGTTATCAATATTTAACAAAGATCTTATGTAAAATCTGAGTTACTGGCTTCTCCTAGAAATAAAAACCTTAATATCTGGTAACACTGATGGCCAGGTCTACATTTCTGCCTGGTCACAATCAGCATGAGCCAGGCAGAGGCTGCTCCCTTCAGACAGGGCACAGGCATTCTCGTTTACCCCAGTCCCTTCCATTTGGCTAAGTGCCAATCACTGTATCGCCACTACTGTCTTTCTTCGGATGGAGCCTGTTTCATTATTCAGATTACTTGCCTCCCCTTTTAGTGTTTGAATTGAACAGAAAAGAATTTGGAAACAGGAAGAGAGCTTTTCCTTAAATCCTTAAGTTCCCTTTTTTATGCTTTCTCTCTTGTTTCATCCCAAGCTGGAGGGAATACTTCCTCCTGACTTGACCCACCCTCCTCCACTCCAAAAGAGACCATGAAGAAGAACGCTTTTTGGCAAAACCACCTCACCTCTGGGAAGCTGGCCATATTCACCAAAATCAGTTGTGGAGACTTCATGGAGATCTGGCCAATCTGGTTTAAAGCAAGCTTCCCATCAGCAGTTACCACAGTGATATGATCAAGGGATCCTAGAAGAAAAGTCACAGGGTTTTAGAATTCAGAAGGACTTTAATTAAAAGCCCCATATCTAAGTCCCCACCTAATTCAGATTCAACAAATATTCTGGGGTCCCTTATCAAAGTGGCAATACCATTCAAGGGGCTTTTGTAGGAGCAGCAGTGTCACATGCTGGAAAGAGCTCGGAAATGTTGACAGAACGAGGACTTCCTTACCAAAAACCAGGGTGGCCAACCATAAATGGTTCATTCCAAGACACAAAGACAAAGGTGGGGAGAGGTCCTTTTTGACAAATTGGGCTGACCCAGCAAGCTGCTGTTACAATAATGCACTAGTTTACTATGGCCCAAAGATCTGATTTGAAGTATTCAACCAGATTCAATGTCATTACAAGATAGGAGGTTGTTGATACCACTGACTTCAATCTGGAAGAGTCCACTATGTATAATAGTAAAAGTCTCCATGATTCTGAAGACCAGTGATCGGGGTTCAAATACCACCTCTGCCATCTCCTGATTATCTGACACTGGGCAGATCCCCTCAACCTTTCGGCACCTGTTTCCTGAACTCTAAATGGGGCATAAAAATTGTACTTCTCTCATAGTGTTTTTAATGAGGATTCAGTGAAGAGTTTCTGGGAAGCACTTGTAACTGTGTCCTGGCATATACAAACACCCAATAAATGTAAAATTATTTCTTGACTTTCTCTTGAGTATTAACCAAACCAACCTACTTTCAATTTCTCTAATACAGTCTGCTCTTTCTTGCCTCAGGACTCTGAGCATACATTTTTCTTTCTATTGAGAATGTCCTTCTCTGTTCAGATAACTCGGGCTCCTTCTTTAACACTCAGCTGTAACAGCATCCAATCTCAGAAATCTTAACTGACCAATTACAAATCGGGAGCTTATGAGCTCCCAAGGACCCTATGCACTCTTCTATAATAATCAGTATTTGCTGAACACTTCCTATGAGCAAGACATTGTACTGAATGCTTTCTATAATTTCTTTGCTTTGGTTATCACAGTAACACTATGAATCATACCACTATTTTTTGGGATGAGAAAACTGAGGACCAAACAGTAACTTGCTCAAGGTCACAACAGCTCTTAATAATGGAGCCTCGTCTAGCTAACTCTACATGGTCTTCACCATTCTGCTTTGCTATATGGTTTTGTCCATGTTGGTTTACTTGTCTCTCCCTTCACATTAGGCTCTAGGCTCTTGGAAAGTGGGAACAATATCTTTTCTTTCTCTGTCTACAGCACCGACTAATCAGCACAGCGTAAGTGCTCAATAATGTTCTCGTGAGTACATGAGTGTGTAAATGGACAAATGAATGGAAAAGTGCGAGAACAAACACGTAGATAAATCTGTATCTAGACAACTATTAAAAGCAATCAACTACCTTGGAGATAGAAATCGCTGGTAGACGGATGGAGGTGTGAAAGGAAAAATGCCTGCTGGCTCAGATAGTAATGAAAGAGGATATGGAAGAATCTGGCACGGAAAAGACTGGCTAAGTTCAGTTTCACCCAGTCTCTTCACAGCCCCAAGTTCTACAGAGAACGTTACACAAACATAACCCTGAAGAGAAGGAGGCAAAGAGGAAATACCAACGGGAGGCCTTTTGAAAATGGATCTTAACTCAGCCTTCCTGATTTGCCATAAGATCCTTTGCCACAGAACTTGCAACATGGGCTTTTCAGTATGCAATTGCGGTGGTTCCCGTTCCCTAAATCCATATCGACATAATGCATCAAATCCTTTTCCCTCAATCTGTCCCCAGCGAGAATCTCCCTCAGCCTCATTCCTGCCACTCATTTTCTCAGAGGTTAACATTTAACAAATTACACTCCCAACCTCTTTCCAGGCCCATCATCTTTTTAAGTTCAACAAGAGTGGAGCTTGCTGGCTAATTTTAAGTATCACATTTCTCCCTGAGCTCCTCTCAAACTGCTCTCTGGTTTCGGCTGCAGAATGTTAACAGGCCAGAAAGCACAGGGGAGACAAAGCACTTTATCAGTTTCATACCTAAAATAATAAGCAAGTTTAAAATAAACAGTTGGGAGAGATTGAATGGCACGCTCTACTGTCAGCAAAGGCAGAAATGCCCCAGTCCAAAGGTTGACAAATGACGGAATGGTCTTCTGATTTCACAGAGGATCTCGTCTCCCTGAACTCCGTGTGTTTCTGCTAGTGTTTACAAATGGAGCTGTATATTTTTCACTTAGTTTTCTTAAGAACAAGTTCACAAAATATTTTCTAGTTTCCTTAAGAACAATCCCAACCAAGGTGTGAATAGAAGCAGCCCAAGCTCCCAGAGACACCTTCAGAGGGGGTCCTAGGCTTGACTCTAGGATGATGACAATTTCCAAAAGGCCAATTTAACAGCAATTGGATTTTTCCTGACTGCCTGCACCATTAGCTGACAGCTCACTTCTTCCATCACATCTGCAAACAGTTCTCCTAGACAGTTCTGACATTTCCCACTTAGAAAAGCCACTTTCAGGAAGTTATTAACCCGAACGGAATCTTCCTGGTCAAGCTCAGGGGTACAGAAATGCCTCAGATGGATAGGTTTGCAGCCACTTGGTTCCCAGTAAGGGATAAGAAGGGCCAAATAGGACACATTACAAAAATCGACCAACAATGTCAGTTCTTTGAGATTACATACCTAGAAGTGCTTAGATAGTATAATCCTAATAAAACACCCATTTTTTGAGAGTGCAATTCCGTGACAATGAAGACAATGCCTATTTTTTGTTCACCACTGTGTACCAGCACAATACTCAGTTCACAGCAGAAAAATATTTGCTGAATGTATGAATAAAGTAGTGTTAACTATGAGCCAGGCACTGTGTTCCAACCATTCTGTATGTTACCTCATTTATTTTAATACCCACCCCAAAGCTATAAAGTGGGAATTAGATGAGGAAAATCAGGACCAGAAAAGTAAAGTAACTGCCCATGGTCACCAGTAAGAAATAAAACTAGAACTGAAACCCAGCTCTGCCAAAGCCATGATCTTTATACTATGTCCCTCTGCAAAACACTGGTTCAGCCACTAACCTGGTGAGGTCCTTATATTGACAGTCTTATTGAAATTGTCTTTGAGTGCTTCCATCACGGACTTCATTTCTTCATCCACCTCTTCCAAGCTGATTATATCCTCAACCAAGGCAGCGTTAAGATTCACTCTGGTTTGGAACTGTCCTTTCCCTTTGGCTAGGAAGTCAACAATTAGTGAATAAAAGAACAGCAGCATAAACAGAGACAATAAACAATTAGTGAAGAAGTGTCACTAAGTGCAGAGAAAAATGCCAAGTGTTAAAAACTTGTACATTATCAATGCCGTAAAAAAAAAAAAAAAAAGAGCCTACACTGATTGCCCACTACGTACCCAGCACTGTGCTAATCACTTTCTGAGATACTGGTGAAGGTACAAGCTTTACAATGAAACACCTCAGGTGAAAATCCTGGCTGTGATGCATACCAGTTTTATGACTTTGGGCAAGTTACTCTACTTTCCTGAGTATCAGGTTCCTTGCCTGTAAAACAGGAATAATACCTATATTGCCAGGTTGCTATGATACAAATTCAGTAATTCAAATACCTAAAAGAGCACTATCCATATAGAAGGCACTCTATAAATGAATTCCTTATTTTCCAGAAAAATAAACAGAAGATGAGGAAGGTAAAGTGACTTGCCTAATGCCACAAGGTCATGAAAAAGTAAAGCCAAGATTTGGTCCCAGATTTGCCTATTTTAAACCCATGAACTTCCCATTAGATTGTCTCTGAAAAATCTAATTAGAGACAAAGAAAATACATTAATTCATTTTAAAATGAATACTAAGACAGGATATGCAAAGTATCTGACAGCTGGGACAGACAAAACGAACAACAGTAGTTAACAAACATTAAACACCACCAGTGGTAATAATAATGGCTTATAGTTCAGAAAATCAACAGCAGTGGGGGCTGAATAAAATTCAATTTTATGCCTAAGCCACCATGGTGATTTTTCATATACGTTCTAGATATATAGATCACTTCCATGAGTAGAACAAATATTCCTGCCTTTCTTCATGGAAGGTGAGTAAAGAGAAAAAAGAATAGAAATATTAAGTAATACTAGCCTATACTTGTTAACTACTCAACAAATATTTATTGAGATTCATTCATAACAAATTTTATTGAACATCTACAGTGAGCTAAATCCTGTGATATTTGTACAGCACATTATAATCTGCAATGTGATTTAAAGTACATTCTTCTATTAAAGAGTAAGAGCAGCTCCCAGAGTTAGGAAGAACAGAGATTATTATTGTTCCCCTTGTACAGGGAGATGAGATGAGAAATCTGCAGCACAAATCATTTAAATGTTTCCCCCAAGTACCAACCAGCAAGCAGCAGCAGAGTGATTTTTTAAAGACATGTTACTTGCTTGTGTTACCACCATGCTTGAAACCTTATTGCTCTTAAGTTAACAGAATAATGGCTTAGAATTTTCAGAACTGATGAAAGATGAGAATCTTCAGATTCAGAAATACAGGTTCCAAAGAGGATAACAAAATTCATACCTAGACATTCTATGAGTTCAGAAAACCAAGGACAAAGAGATCCTGAAAACAGCCAAGATAAGACAAGTGATCCATAAAGGATCAAAATTCAGAATAACAGCATACTTTCAAAGAACAACAATAGGAGCTAGAAACAATGGAAACGGTATCAGCAACTTCAGATTTTTTTAAACTAAGAATGCACGTTAAAAATTTTAAGTTATGCCTATCAATATGAGGAATGGATAATATGAATGAAACAGTATACAGCCATGAGAAAGATCTACAACTACACAGAAGAAAATGATTCTCACAAACATAATGTTGAGCAAAGACTCCAGAATACAGAGCGTACAGTACAAAAGCCAGATACAAGAATATACGGTACAAGAGACAAAACTAATCCGTGCCATTAGAAGTCAGAATGATAGTTACCCGCCAGAAGTAGAAGGCAGGAATTTACTAAAGGGAGCATAAAGGGGACTTTTGACATGCTAGAAATGTTCTGGTTCTTGATCTGGGCGCTGACTACACAGGTGTTTCCAGTTTGTGAAAATTATCAAGCTGTTTCCTATGACAGCTATACTTTTCTATGGGAACTTTTTAATTTCTATAAAAACTTAAAAACAGAAATTAAGGGTAACTATTAAAACAATAAGAAATAAGATGCACAACTTCTAACTCAGCAGAAATGAAAAAAAAATAAAGAAATTTGATTAATTTAATAGAAAACAGGGGAAAACAGAAATGAAGAAAACTATAATAAAGTACAAAATAAAATGATAGATACACAAATACTCAGTAATCACAATAAATATAAACAGACCAAGAATATCACTTAAAAGTTAGAGATTCTCAGTAAGCAGTTTTACAAAAACATGAGATTACAGAAAGTTTAATATATAGGAATGGAAAAATGATAACCCTGTAAAATATTAAGCAAAAGAAGGCTGGTGCAAATATATTAACACCTAAAAATAGATTTTAAGACAAAATGCATTATTAGAAAAATGAAGACCATCTCATAATGACAGTAAAAACAACTCACCAGAAAGATATTACAATATTGAGCTTAAATATACCCCCATAGGGCGCCTGGGTGGCTCAGTGGGTTAAGCCTCTACCTTCGGCTCGGGTCGTGATCTCAGGGTCCTGGGATCGAGGCCCGCATCGGGCTCTCTGCTCAGCGGGGAGCCTGCTTTCTCCTCTCTCTCTCTATGCCTGCCTCTCTGCATACTTGTGATCTCTCTCTCTCTGTTTCAAATAAATAAATAAAAAATATTTAAAAATATATATATATACCCCCATAACACAGCCTCAAAATTAATGGAATGAAAAGGAGAAACTGATGACTCTACAATAATACAAGGATATCCAAAATACCTTTCTTCGTAACTGATAAATTGAGCAAATAGAAAAAAGTCAATGGAAAATATGATGAACAAAATTAGCCAACTCAATCTAATTGTTATATATACAATCCTGTACCCAGCAATAAAAGAATGCACATTCTTCTTAAGCACATGTGAACTTTATACAAAAAGACCATGTTCTAGACCATAAAGCAAATCTCAATAAATATCAAAGAATCTATATCATATAGGACACATTCTCTGATCACAGTGGGATTAAACTAACTCTCCAAAAAGCATATCAAGCTGTTTATAATTGAAAAATTATAAACACTTCCAAATAACTCATGGACTACAAAAACACCTAATGAAAATTTAAAATATTTAGAAAAAGACAATAAAAATTATATATACCTAAAACTTCTAGGAGGCACCTGAAGTTGTATTTAGATAGAAGTTTATAGCTGTAGGTGCTTATAAGAAAAGAACAAAGGTTGACAATTAATGGACTGTCCAGTTCAAAGGATAGAAAAAGAAGGACATGGAAGAAAATAAACAATAAAGGACAGAAATCAATAAAACTAAGAAAAGAGAGATCACCAAAATTAAAAGCTCTTCTTTATAAGGCTTATGAAACCAACAAACTTAAAAGTAGACAAATCAATATTAAGAAAGAAAAGGAGGAGACAGTTATCAAAACATTAGAGATTTTAAAAATCTTAAGTGACTATTATGGACAACTTTATGCCAACAACTCTGAAAACTTAAAATAATGAAAAATTTCCTAAAAATATAGAATTTACTAAAACTAACTCAAGAAAAAAAGAGAAAATCTAAGCAGCATCATAATCATTAAAGAAACTGAGTCTTTGATTTAAAGTCTGTCTACAAAAAAATAAATAAATAAAAATAAAGTCTGTCTACATGTAAGACCAGGTCCAGATGATTTCACAGGCACATTCTACCAATCATGTAAAGAACCAATTAATCCTAACCTTATCAGACCATCCACTGAGAGAGACACAGAGACAGAGATGACATACTCCCCAACTCACATTATGAGACTAATATAGTCTTGATACCAAAACCGGACAAGGATAATGCAAGAAACGTATGCCCATCAATATCAGAGAGTTACATTAAGGCTAATTTCAATTAAAAGTTTAGACTCAAAAACCCTAAATTAATATTAGCAAACCAAATCCAACAATGTACATATAGATTACGTATCAAGCAATGTACATACAAATTATGTATCAAAAGCAAGCAGACCTCATACCAAAAAAGCAAAAGTGGTTTAACATCAGAAAAAGCTATTGATATTGAGTCACCCCATTAACATATTAAAAAATTAAAAAATTAAAAAATAGATGATCAACTCAATAAATGCAGTAAAAGCATTTGATAAAAACTTAATACTCATTAATAAAAGATTCTTAACAAGACAGGGACAGAAGATCTTTGCTTATAAAAGAAACTACTGAAAAAATAAGCAAACATAATTCTTTTATATATATATATACATATTTTATTAACATATAATGTTAACATATATTATATATAACATATATAACATATATATGACATATATTAATATATAATGTTATTATTATTAATTATTATTAATAATATATTATTATTATTATTAATGTCATTAGCCCCAGGGGTACAGGTCTGTGAATCACCAGGTTTACATACTTCACAGCACTCACCATAGCACATACCCTCCCCAATGTCCATAACCCAACCACCCTCTCGCTACCCCCCTCCCCCCAGCAACCCTCAGTTTGTTTTGTGAGATTAAGAGTCTCTTATGGAACAAACTAATTCTTGATGTTAACATATGAGAAGTGTTCCTGATAGAGTCAGAAATATAATAAGGATGCCTACCTACTATCATCAGTCATGTTTATTCAAATTATATTCAAGTTCTTAAGTCAATGCAGTTGGGGAGGGAGAAAGGGAAGGAGAGAAAGAAAAGGTATATGGATTAGAAAGGGAAAAACAAAATTATCATTATTTACAGATATTATAATTACATAGAAAATCCAGAAGACTATAAAATAGATCTAATACAAGATTTCAAAGGTAGGGAAATTTTTCTAAAACAGAAATAAAAGGGGTGTCTGGGTGGCTCAGTGGGTTAAAGCCTCTGCCTTCAGCTCAGGTTGTGATCTCAGGGTCCTGGGATCGAGCCCACACTGGGCTCTCTGCTCTGCGGGAAGACTGCTTCTGCCTCTCTCTCTGCCTGCCTCTCTGCCTACTTGTGATCTCTAACTGTCAAATAAATAAATAAAATCTAAAAAAAAAAAATTGTTAAAAAAATAAAATAGAATAGAAAAAAAAAAGCACTATCACTAAAGGAAAAAAATGATAAATTGGACATTAAAATTGAAAACTTTTGTTCATCAAAAAACACCATTAAAAGAGTGAAAAGGCAAGCCTACCAGCAATACGTATGCATGACAGAAGTCTTACCTTTAGAACATATTAAAACTCCTACAAATCCATTTTTTTAATGGGCAAAAGAATGGAAAGAGAATAAACAAAGAGCCAATAAACATAAAAGTGCTCACATCATTATCCGTCAAGAAGCTACCAATTAAAACCACAATGGGATATAACTGCACACCCATCAGAATGGCTAGAAATAAAAAGACTGACTATATTCCAAGTGTTCATGAGTATGTGGAGCAAAGAGAAAGCTACAACATTTTTGGTAGGAGTGTACACTGGCATGACCATTTTGGAGAACTGTATGTATAGAAACTGAATACATGTATCCTTGAAGACTCAGACTTCCCCCTCTTGCTATATGTATGCCAACAAAAAGGTATGCATACGGGCACCAAAATCCACATACAGGCATGTTCACAGTAGCATTTATTTTAGTTGAAAACTGGAAGCAACCCAAATGCCCGTCAACTACAGAAAGCATACATAAGTTGTGGTATAAGCATTCACTAGGATACCATAAAGAAAGAAAAATGCACAAACAACTACCATATGCAACAGCAGGGACAAATCTCAGATTGTTACCAAAGGAAGGCAGACACACAAGAAGTCATACTGAGTTCAAAAACGGTGAATCTAATCTACAGTGCTAAAGTCAATAAAATGTTACCCTTTTGAAGGCTGACAACCGAAAGGGACATGCGGGAAGCTTCCAGAGTATGAGTGATGTTCTATATCTTAATGTGGGTGATGGTTACGAGGCTTTGTTCACTTGATGGGAATTCTCTGAACTGTAACCACTTGCAAGTTAAGCACGTACTTTCCTGCATATATGTTGTAACTCAAAAAATTACTTTAAAAATATACATGTGACCAAAATGATGATATCCCAGAAATACACCTGATAAAAGAAATGTGTAAAATCTCTATGGAGAAAAACTCACAATATGATTATAAATTTCATATATAAGAGCAAAAGGCCAGAAAGAAGGAAATGAAAAAGTGTGTGCATATGGTGAAGGGAAAGTTTTGTACCACCAGATTCAAGATATTATGACAGTGATTCAAGAATTTAGAAAGGAATTTAGTGTAGGGAAAGAGAATTCAACAAAATTAAGTGCTCAGAAATAAAATACATAAAAGAAACCTGACATGCTACACAAGAGGAAAGAAAGGGCTAATCAGTACATGATATTGACACAACTTACTACCCATTATAGAAGAGAAACTTAAAACTAGATTCCCAACCTCACAATATATTCAGCAATAAATTCCATATGATAAAAAACCCATGAAAAGTAAAAAAATCTTTAAAATATTTAGAAGAAAATATAGAAGAATATTTAGAAGAAAATATAGAAGAATAGGACCTTGGATAGGTAAAGATTTATTAAATAAGACACAAAAGTACAAGTGATACAGAAAAGGACTAAAAAATATGAACATACAGAAACTTATGCTCAACAAAAGATATCATTAAGTAAAAAACAAAGCAGACAGCTATAACAAACACATACAATCGACAAAGGACTCTCATTGCTAACACAGAAAGAAGCCAATAAACCTAAAGAAAATGTCAAGCCACTGACTTTTTATTTAGAGGCAATCAAAAAAGATAAAAACTGAATATAGCCAATTAAAGTTGAAAAGATGATGCTTATGCGCTGTCACTAATGCGTGGGATGCTGTGTGCACCAGAAGCCCCCCGTTTCCAGTTCTGCCGTGAACTACATGTGACCACGGACAAGCATCTTACGATGGCATCTCGGCTTCCTCATTTGTAAATGGGGAGATCTGTACTTTACCAGATTAACTGCAAAAATTTCTTCACTGGATAATTCTAATTCTTTCACTGGATAAAGATCAACTTATTAAACACGAGAATTAAAAAAAAAAATTGGCGCAACATACAGATTAAAAGTTGTTGCCACTATCACTGTTAATAGAATGTAAGTCTTCTAAGTATTAATGCTCTTTCAGCACCTTGTTCATTTTCCTACTAATAGAAAAGGGAAGGTCCATAAGAAATGATAAAAGGAAAACCAGCAGAAAAAATACTCAGCAGCGTATTTCCAGCCCCATCCTTGGGAACGGATGCCCTGACCCACCACTGCAAAAAAGCAGGTGTGCCTGACAATTTTCTGTCACTCCATTCATTCAACATCTTTTGATCCATACTACGCATCGGGCCCTGTTAGGTACTAAACAAGATACAGACTCTATCCTCATAAAGTCTGGCATAGAAGACATATAAGAAATAATAATTAATCTTACAATTAATTGATTAATTTAAGGGCTGTGCTAAGGCCATCAGACGTAAAATAACCGTGTGTATGAGTGCACGTAACAAGGGACCTGACCCAGTCTGAGAGGTCAGAGAGGGCTTCCATGAGGAAACGCCATTTGAGCTGAGCCCTGCGGTATATCAAAGTCTCATTCTTGGATGACACAAACCATTAAGATCATCCGTCTAAATCCACAGCTCTAATACCTCCTCACCCAACAAACTTCTGGTTTTAATTTTACTTCCAACATAGGTCTTGCTATAAGGAGAAAACACGTTGATCTCTGCCACAAATAGTCTGATTCACTTGGCACTTACATCTCTAATTCTAAAACTAAAAGAAGGAAATCAGACACTTTCTGAGCAATGGTAACATAGGAGACGGCATGGTAATGACTGAACAGACCTTCAGTTCTACCACTGTCTCTGTCACTGTGATAATCTTTTAAGCTGATCCACTGAACTGAGACACCATCTCCTCATTCTTCCACAAGGGGAGAAATCCAGTACCTGACATCCTTTCCAGCTATGACAGTTTAAGGGCTAAATGTAAGAAAGCGGTGAGGAGGTCATATATCTCTACCTTTGGCTTTCTTGGTAGCAAAATGACGGATTGGTACAGCCGGGGGGGCCACGGATTGCCCACGGTCATTTTGTCTTCCACTCGCTGTCTTCAGTGTCCCTTCTGAAACAGGTCTGGTCCAGGCTGCAAGGGAGTTACAAAAGACAGGGTGGACCAAGCGGAAGCACCTTAAACCCAAGGCCATGACTGAAGACGATCCTTGTGAACATTCACTAAAAAGAGTAAGACAAAAAAGAGATCTAAGTAAAACAGACTGTATTACAACTTCAGAAAGTAATCTGTACCAATTATCAAGCAACCCCTACAAACTGAGCTATGTGCTAGGCAATTTACATATATTATCTCCTCCCAACAGCCATCCCAAGGAAATATGATGAGCCGCATATTACAGGATGAAGAGATTGAGGCTCACAGAGATTTAAGTAACTTGCCCACAGTCTGTAAGACTCCAAATCACCAGACTCTTTCTACTGTACCAAATGCCTCTTAGAGTACAGAGGAAACAAATGTGCAACAGCCAAAATCTTTAATGATGCTAATTAAACCCTTACAAGAGAAAAGGCAAAAAATCCTGATAAAGTTATACTATAAAGACAGAGGGCAGAGCACTGAAAGAGGACTTTAGATTTAAAAAAATCATTTCAACAGGCATAAAATGACTGGAAAATTCACACGACAGCATTTAATTAAAATTTTCTTTGGTTCCTTATGCACTGATTACCAATTAGAATGCACTTTACTTTAATGTGAGTCTGAAGCACAGTTGAGGTTTGAGGTCTCCCATGTTACAGAATTGGAGCTCTGGAAAATGCCACCCTCCTCTGTGTTAACACAAGTTACACATTATACATCTAAGGTCTGACCATGAAAAGATGCTAGCGTCTATCTAATGTACAGCTAGCATCTGCCAGGGATCTGGCTATCACTCAGTTAAAACCAAGAACAGTTCCCATCAAATACCTGGGAGCTACTATCTTTGAAAATCCATCCTACACCTCATTAAAACACAACAACAACAAAGAAAATCCTATCCTAAATGTTGATGCTGTAGAACTAAATCAGAGCATGTGCTCTGTAGCCAGAAAGACCTGGAATCCAATCCCAGCTCCATCATTGACTAAATGCCCCTGACTCTGCACCTCGATTTCCTCAACTGTAAAGTGGGGATAATTATAGTTATTTCTTTTTTTTTAAAAGACTTTATTTATTTATTTGACAGATAGAGAGAAATCACAAGTAGACAGAGAGGCGGGCAGAGAGGAGGAAGCAGGCTCTCTGCTGAGCAGAGAGCCCGATGTGGGGCTCGATCCCAGGACCCGGGAACCATGATCCGAGCTGAAGGCAGAGGCTTTAACCCATTGAGCGACCCAGGTGCCCAATTAAAGTTATTTCTTAGGGTAGAGAAGAATAAATGAGTTTATGCAAGTAAAATAATAGGCACAGTGGGGCGCCTGGATGGCTCAGTCTTTAAGCGGCTGCCTTTGGCTTCAAGCCCCACACTGGGGACCCCACTCAGCGGGAAGCCTGCTTCTCCCACTCCCCCTGCTTGTGTGCCCTCTCTCCCCGTGTCCCATTGTCAAAATAAATAAAATCTTTAAAAAAAAAATTGGCACAGTGCTCAGCAGACAGCAGGAGCCCCCAAAAGGGTATCTGTTGATAACTATCACCATTCCTTTCAAAAAGACTTGCACACAAGGGTCAGACACAATAAAGAAAATCTTGCATGTCCTTATACAAGATAGTCTAGTCAGTCAGATCTGGATGTACATTTCAACTTTGGGCAGTTCACTTCACCTATCTGGCCACCACTTTCCTCATCTGCAAAATGAGAAAAATAATCCTGATCTTAAAATGAAATAGTAAGTGTATGGAAAACAGCTAGCACAGTGCCAGGAATATGGTACCTGCTTAATGAATGCTAGCTATCATTATCATTATTTCTTAAAAGAAAAGCAAATGAGCAGAGCAAAGGCAAATAATTTCTCCTGATGGAATTTTTTTTCTCCTGATGGAATTTTTAATAGCAAGTGATGCTAGAGATCAGTGATTAGTATATGAGGTTAGTAAAAACAAATCTGGATTAAAAAATAAATATCTTTTCCTCTTCCTTCATTATTATCAATAGCTGCTATTAACTGAAGTCAGGGCCAGGCTGCTTGCTTTACCTGTACATATTTCACTTAATCCTCCCAATAATGCCACAAAAAAAAGTGTAATGATCTCCATTTTACAGATGTAGAAACTGAGGTTCAAAGAGACTGTCACTGTCCAAGGGCATGGAACTAATAGCTCTGCCCTATTTTGGCAAAACTGTTCACAAAATTTGGCTCTGAGTGAGGTTTCTATATCTAGATTTTTCTAATATAGCCAATGCCTAACCCACACTTATATCCAAATATGGCTGTATAATAATGTGGTTTTTTAATTTTTTTTTTTTTTTAAATCTACAGGGTCTCAATTTGGCTGCTCCATTTAAGACAGGTTTCCTGGTGTTCCTGTTGCAGGTCATAATACCAATCCACAAAGCAACAGGAAATCAAAATGGGTTAGAAATAAACAACCTTTGACAGAAAATGCAGCACCCAAAAGCAGACCCAGTACATGTGAACCGGAAGATAACTCTATAAATAAACCACATTGCTGAAATGTTTTAGGCGTAGATTTTAATTGCACAGAAGTCAGGAAATTTCAAAGTGGAAGTTCAATAAAGGCAGTCCCTTGGGCCCTTTACCTTAAGGACATGCATATTAACAGTTCGGCACAGAAGAATTAAAGTCGAGGAAAGGAACTGTCGCAGGAGCTCCATCCAACAAAATTAACCCATACTCAGAAAAAAAATCTGTCACGAAGAACCTGGGTTTTGGACACAGTGTTGAACTGGAATCTGGCACTTATTAACTCTGTGACTTTGGGTAGATCATTTCGCCTCTCTGAGCTAGTCTGCACCCCATTTTTACCATGCTGATATTAATGAGCTTTTAAAGAGATAATTATAACAATAATAACAAAACAATTGCCAACACTTACAGACTTACAAGTATGTGTCAGAAACAATTCCAGGTGCTACACTGCATACATTAACTCATTTGAACCTCATGATACCACTATGAAATAAGTACTGTCAGTATACCCATTCTACAGATGAAGAAATAAAGACACAGATAAATAATTTGCCAAGGATTAGATTTCAGGCAATCTATCTTAAATCTGTGCTCTTAACCACTATACTATACTATTAACGTACATGAAACACTCAGAGCAATTACTAACATTATTATTGAAACAGTTGAAGTAATTTTTAAAACTAGTTGAAGCACATACTGTTTTTCCAAAGTTAGGGTGCTCAAAACGACTTTTTCTCTTTTCCATAGGTATATTTTAATTTTAAAAAGAACTAGATGAGGGATACAAAGCCCACTGTCCATTGTCCCAGCAACCTCTCCAAATTTGGCTGTATATTAGCTTACAATATACACATTTTTAATATTCTCACATTTCTCACGTGTATTATCTGATAACTATTTGTGATTACCACCCACATTTTACACATAAGCACACTGATTTTTCATTTCCTAGAATGTTCCTTTTCTGCTTCAAGGTCTTCAAACATACGGCTAAAGTTGAATCTGCTTGGAATGATCTTCCCCAGCCTCTTTAATGAACTACCTCCCAGATTTCTTTCAGATTTCAGCTTAAGCATCGCTTTCTCAGAGGATGCCTTCTCTGGCCATCTCCTCCAACCCAACTAGATCAAATGTCCTGTAGCCCATTTTTGTTAACACCTTACTCTTCTTCATAGCACTTAAACAAAATTAGCTAATATTTGCGTAGTTATCTGATCATTGCCTAATTCCCTCCACAAGACTATAACCATCACAAGGACGATCTATGGTTGTCTTGTTCACTGCCATACCTCTAGGACCTAGCACAGTCCCTAAACACAGAAGACACTGAATACAAGTGATGAATACATGAATGAAAGTCTAGAAAGAGTAAGTCCTTGCCCAAGGTCACAATTATGGTTCAAGATTTGGAATCTAAGGCTCAGACTGAAGGTCCTGGGGTCTGCTTCTCCACGGTGCTTCGATGATCTCTTGGTTTGCCAGATTTTCCACATATAGGAGAGTATGTTCTCTAAATTCAGGGCCATGTAAAGGTGTTTATAGCAACTGACTATATAGATGCTATACTATTCATAGTATCACAACTGTAGTATAGAATCATGTCCCTGACATAGCCAAAGGAGGATAAGACACTTTAACAGGTAGAGAAAGAGCTTTTGCCTAAGAGCTAGAAGGTATGAATCCCAATATTTCTATTTCCTCTCTCCTGCCAACCATCTTCTATAGATTCATAACCACCTGTACTCAAAAAGCATTTGTGCCAGCTCTACGACCAACATATGACTTCTGTCAAATCATTTCTCCCACCTAGGTTGTGTTTCCTCAACTGTAAAATGAAAGGTCAAACCAGATTCTGGGTAGTGCAAAGGAGTGTAGTCAATGGAAAACAGCACCTAAGTTAGAGAAGACCTGGAAAAGAGTCTTGGTTCTAACACTTCCTCGATATGTAACTTGCATTAGGTCGAACTCTCTAGACCTCAAATTCATCTGTAAAAATGTAGATGACAATACTATTTGTCAGGGTTACCAGGACGATAGAATGAGACAAGGGCTGCAGAAACATTTTGTAACTAGAGAACAGATGCTGAAATGGTAACTGCTCGCCGAGGGAAGACACAGAGTAATGGTTAAAAGTTGAGGTTTTAGAGGCGCCTGGGTGGCTCAGTGAGTTGGGGCCTCTGCCTTCAGCTCGGGTCATGATCCCAGGGTTCTGGGATCGAGCCCCGCATCGGGCTCTCTGCTCAGCGGGGAGCCTGGTTCCTCCTCTCTCTCTCCCTACTTGTGATCTCTGTCTGCCCAATAAATAAATAAAATCTTAAAATAAAATAAAAGTTGAGGCTTTGTAATTTAAGCTCCATCACTTATTAGCCGCACATCCCTGGTAGTTATTTCCCTGAGCTTCCATTTCTTCATCATGGGGCGGGGGAGGGGGTGGAATAATACCTACTACCCTGGGAAAATTAAATGCTCCTGCCAAATAGTGGGCTAGTAAGTAGTGGCTACTATTGAGTGAGCTCCCTCCCCCTCCGCCATCCTCGAAGTCCCTAGCTGATGGGCCAAGCCCCGCCCCCACCCCATGAAACTCTCTGGGAAGCGACAGGTCCCGCCCCCAACCTTAAAGGTCAAGCCGGACTCGAATGGAACCGGTCGGGGGACAGCGATCAGACTCCCTAAAGTCCCCAGAAATCTTTGAGTAGAAGTCTCTGGCACCCGGACCCAGCGCGCGCCTCGAGGCTGTGCAGAGGCCACTCACCAGCTATCGCCCAGGTTACTAGGAAAAGACCTACGCGGCCCCGGTGACGGCAGCGGCGCGGGCGCCATGACGTCACGGGCGGCGCGGCGGCGCAGACGTAGCGCGTCACCGACGGCCTGGCAGCGGGCGGCGGTGAGGCGTACGCGCTCGGAGGGCGGTCAGGCCGCGGAGTCGGGATCTGCTTCTGGGGCATGAGCCGAGGGGACGACGCCGAGGCCACGAGGTGAGTCCGGCCGCGATGCGCCCCTGCACCCCAGCGTCGGCCCCGCGAGGGGCTCGCAGAGGAGACTGCCCTAGCAAGACTGCTTCTCAGGCCCCGCCCCGGATTGTCCCGCCGCTAGCCCGGAAATAACAATCGGAGAAATGACCCAGCGCGTCTGGGAATTCGCGGCCAGGAATCGGGAAGCCGGAATTCCAGGCTTGACCCTGCCGTTACCGTTAGCTTTAGGAACGAGTGGCTTTGGTTCTCTGGACTTCAGTTTCCCCGTATGATTTTTCCTGCCTTCCAGGTTGTTGCAGGTCAGCTGCGAAAATAGATTACAGCGTTTTGTGAGCTCTGTTAATACAGGGGGTTGTCACCATTGCAAACCCAAAAGATTTTGATAGTCGCATGCCATCTTGATCTCATTACACTTTATCGTTCCTCAAAAGGCCCCGTGCTGAGCTGTCACAGATACTGTCTCATTTAAGCTTAACGACCCACGAGTTAGGGATAATCGTACCCATTCTAGAAAGGAAGAAGAAACGGAGGCTCCAGGTGGAGCCTCATTCATTCATTCAGTAAATATTGAGCACCAGCCACGAGCCAGGCAGTATACTAAGTGTTGGGGATAGAACTATGATCAGGATAGGTAGGGCCCTGCCATGTAGAAGCAAGCTTACATTCTAGTGAGGGAAATAGAAAATGGAATAGGAAATAATATTGAATTGGCATTACATGTAAAGGAGAGGTGGCTTTGATACAAACTAACAAGGAGCTCAACCCTTAGGGAATGCTTTTCTGAGAAGACATTTATTAAGCCATGCAATAACTGGGTACAAAAGCCAGAATTTGAATATAGATCTTTTGGCCCCATATCCTGTACTCTTGCCACTAAAATTTGGTACTTTCCGGTGATATTAGGTAGTTGTTGGTATTGCTGTTTTCAGACATGAGAAAATCAGGAGGTTCTATCATTGAAGCCTCATCTGAAATGTCATGTTCTGTAGAGAGGCCTTCCCTCTCCACTAATCCTGAAGTAGTCCAACCCCTATCTCGCTGTCAAATTACCTTGCTTAATTGTGTTTGCAGCTGTCAGTAATTACATCTTGCTGATTTATTTTCGTTTTCTTTTGTCCCACCCCTCTTCCAAATACAAGCATCCCTAGTGGGGACCTTGTCTGTTCACTGCTTTGTCTCCAGTGTCCAGACAATGCCTAGAAATAGCTCATTTTTTTGTTTGTTTATTAAATGAATGAGTGATCTGTAGGAAAATTGGAGGAAAGGAAAGCAGGGAGAAGACAAAGTGTTCCTCCTCCTCTGTTTCCCCTCCTGAGATTCTGTTTCTGTGTGTTTCACCTTTTCTCTCAGGAGGTAAGAGCAAGATCTATAGCTTATTCGTTTCTCTATTCAGCACATAGCCCTGGGCTTAGAAATTAGCAGTTGCTTATCAATGCATTGCTGAACAGATTGAGCATGGGAATGAGAGAGAAAGAAAAATACCCTCACACGTGGGGCTAGAAAACTTGTTCAACGAACAGTTACTTAGGGCCTACTGTGTGCCAGACTTCATAGGCTCTGCTGAGGTGAATAAGAGATAATGACATGTTCAGTATATGTCACCTGTTGTTTTTAGGACACAGTTCCTGCAGCACTGACCTCTGAGGCACATCTGCTTACATGACACATGGTTCGTATGTGTATTCTAGTTCTGAAGTCTGGCACGACCTGCCGTCTTCCCTGCTCTTTTTTCTTTCTCTGCCACATTATACATTTGTTAAAGCTTTATTTTACATCTGTCATCTCAGTTTTAGCCCTCTCAGCAACCTTAAGTTACAAGCAGGGCAAGGTTTAGTATGTAGAGATGAGGAAACAAACTTAGAGAGAAGTGACGTCCAGTGGAAATGCCAAAATTTGAAACCAGGTCTTCTTGACCCCCAGGTTTTTTCCCTTGCCTCTACCATCATAACCCTCATCCTCCGTTTTTGGTTGTGAGATGAGTCATTTCAGGATGAAAGACTAGTAATAATTTAAACTAACTTTACTTGAAAGCTTCTTGGGTGTGATGCAGCATTCTTAACGCTTTGGGTGTGTTAACTCAGTGAATCCACACAACTTTTATTAGGTGTTGTTCCATTTCAGAGATGTGGAAACAGGTAGAGACTGACAGAGTAACTTGAGCAAGGTCACACAGCTAGTAAATGGGGCAACTGGAACGACGAAGGAGGAGTTAGTTTCTTCTTCTGAGTCTTTCCCGTAATATTAAACGTGATGCTAGTGAACATTTATTGGTCGCTGGCTGCTGTTAGATGCAGTGTTTAATGATTTTAAATGCACTGTCTCTCATCTTCACAACAGCCCTGTAAGATAAGTACTGTCCTCGCCATTCCTCGTATGTATGAGGAAATGGAGGCCTAGAATGTTCAGGTTATTCACCAAGTCACACAACCCGCTTTCAGACCGATTTCTAACTCCAATATCTACAGCTTTAAATTTCCTAGATGGCCTCTTCCATGAGGAAGACATGTATGCTGCTCTTTCACACCCATCTCCTTTTGTGCCATTAACACTCTTCTTTCTGGTGATTTCCAAGACTTATTTTGGGGTGACGATTTTTAAACTGGAGTATCATGTAGTAATAGAAAAGAGACTTTGGCCTCCTGCCCAGTCTGCCTCTGGCTTCAGAAAAGGAAAACTAGTTTCTGCACACAGAACCCCGCCCCTTTCACCTTAAATGGAAGCTTTTGCACTCTGGCTGCCAGAGGAGCTGTCCCAAGGGAACTGGTGCTGGGGCCCTGGTTGTGGAATGACCGGGGCCTTTGAAGAACTGGCCAAAGCTTGCCCTCCTTGAATAAATGTTTGTTGAATTGAATTTGAAGCCTCATGTTCACACAGTGTTGCTCCTCTCCTGCCTGAATGTTAACATTTCCTTTAGTTTTTCATAGAGATTGATGGAAGCAGAAACCAAAACTCTTCCCCTGGAGAACGCATCCATCCTTTCAGAGGGTTCCCTGCAGGAAGGGCACCGGTTATGGATTGGCAACCTGGACCCCAAGATCACAGAGTGAGTCTGAGTCCTCTTAAATCATTCCCTACCACACTGGGATGTTTGCACTGATAACGTTCAGAAGAATTTTCAAGAGATTCAGGATATATTTTGGCCCTTTTGTTTATGTTTTAATTATCTTTGAAGGGTATGTGCTTTTGTTATTAACCTGTTATGCTCACATTTTTCTCACATTTGAACTCTTCTGCAAGAACATAGGCTTGGGTATGGTTTAAAACATATACCTCTTTTTTTCTGTTGGCCAAAAATGTTTTCCCGTTTTCACCAATTTGAATCCTTGTACCCGGTGACTATAGCACATTATTTTCTAGAATCAGCCCACGGCATACTCTTATTCCTCAAAATGAAGGAACAAGCGGGAGAAGTCTCTGTACCTTCGCAAACAGGCAGAGGGTACCACTCGATTGTAATTCATGTGAAGCAGCCATGGAACCACAGAAGGTCAGAGCTGGAAGGCATCTTAAAGATCACATCAGTCCCTTTGGTTTTCATTCAGTCATTATGATACGAAGTCTTGTTGTGTGCCAAGTGCCATGCTAGGCAGTGCTCAGACGTTTTAAATCTGAGGAACCTTGTCTTAAAGTAAATTTTTTTTTTTTTTTTTTTTAATAAAAACTCAGAGCTGCTCTGATTAAAGATTGGAGAGAGGTCCACCCAAAGCCTTTTGGCAACCACTACCCTTTCTTTGGTGCTAAGTTAGTTATAGGACTCCATGGAGCACACTTGAAAACCTCTGATATGATCCAGCTCTCTTATCCTACAATAAAGGAAACTGGGTCCTAAGACATGGAAGTACCTTATCCAGGATAACAAAAGCAGTTAAATTGTCCTGACTCCCCACTCTTTGTACTCTGGCCATTATAATGGAAAGCAGTTCCTTAGCAGAGTGCCTTAAGGGGTTTTTTCCTTCGCCCTGTTGCTCAGTAGATACCGGGCTATGGTTGGTGGCAGGATGGTTAAGGAGTGAGTAGATCGGGCTCTGAGGGATCAGTGCTTAAAGCAAACCTGGAGTATGCCATCAATCCTAGAAGTTACCCCCTTTGGAATAGTGTTAAAGGTAGGGTGAGGGGAAACAAGAGAATCCACTTACTTGACTCTAGGATGAGAAGAGGTATATAGAGGGTTGGGATTGGGAGAAGGAAGGGGATGTGGACTAATGGGTCAGGATCATAACAAAGTTTAGTTCTTTAATTCTGCTCAAGTTCAGATCAGCTAAATATAGATAACTTTGGGTCCCTCTAGCAATTATGATGCCATTTAAGATACGTTGTCCCCATGTTATGTTACCTTGGTCACTGGGGCTCTGGAATATGAACTGTGCATTTATTTTGGTTCTCTTTATGGTTCATGGCTTTGAGGATGAATGTGTGAATCAGCCAAGCCTCTCAATCATGTCTGTTGATCAGAGAAGCTGTTTCCATCATCTAAAACCCAAGCTGTGAAAGGATGCTCCCGAGGTGTTTTCTATTCCCACCTCTGCTCGTCTGAATGGAAATCTGGGGCGTGGAAACACTGTTCATTGTTTTGGCTGCAGTTCACCATAATGAGGCTTGTTCTGATTGTGTCCTGTTGCTTGATAGGAAGGTTCAAATGGGCATCTGCCACCTCAGTTTGTGTCATAAATGAATGTTTTCTTCAGTTAGAGCATTATCAGGAATATTGAAACAAAACTTTCCTACTGGTATCTCTGCCCTTTTTATGTCAAGGCGAAGGTGGGCCTAACGTGCTGAACTGCACATCATGGCTTCTCAGGGTCTACCTGTGGCTTCCCCACCTCTGTGTCATCTGCAATTTTGTTCACTGTTTTTCTTCTCTGGATTCCTTATGTTAAAACATTTTCTCTGCCAAACAAACTGATTTGTTAAATAGTAATAAATTTCTTTTTAAAGATACAGCTACCAGGGGTGCCTGGGTGGCTCAGTGGGTAAAGCCTCTGCCTTCGGC